CACACACACACACACACACACACACACACACACACACACACACATGTATCCAGAAGGAAGTAGAAGACTGAGCAATGGAGGATGGAGGAGGGCCGGAGGAGAAAAGAAGAAGGAGAAGATTCCTTTCTCTCCCTCTCTCTCCGCTGATACCAGATACTGACCGCGTAAAGGTGCTGCCTTGCTGCAGTTACTGCAGCGCTGAAGACGAAGATGGAGCTATGGTGCTCCCAGGGGAATCGTCAGGTAAGTCCCAGTCTCTGGCCTCCGTTTCTCTCCCGCCGCAGTCTCCACTGCAGCCTCGACGCTCGCTATCTCTAACCTACCCCCACTGCGCCCAGCGCTGAAGACTAACGCATCATAATGCTGAATACTAACTCGCATTAACCTACTGAGTGAGAGGTAGACCAGTCTATAAATACTACTGGTCTGGCCTCTCCTGGGTCCTGGCCTAAATGTGGGACACAGAATGAACGGCCTGGGAAGCAATCAGGTCGTACGAATCTGGCGGTCCAAGTGTGGCCTGGGGAAAAAATGGAGGCCAGGGCCTGAACCGTTACTGGTACCAGGGCCTGGCCAGGCCGAACCTGGTGTGGGCCTAAAACGGCCCTTTTCTGGCCTGAACCGACGTAGGCCCTACTTCTGGCACCAAAACCACTGCGCCAGGCCGAAACGGAGTTCCTACCCCTTCCTACCTACCTGACGGGTCCTGCTGGGCCCATGTGGGATCTACTGTCTACATATGCCACAGACATGCAACCTCACGGCCCACGCAGCGTTCTGTAGCCGTTGGGGAAACGCCGATTAGAGCAGGGGGCGTGGCCGAGGATTTTGGGCAAGGGGTTGAAGTCCCGGGGCAAAACCGTAATTTCCTGTGTCGGTCCAGAGGTTATCCTTGCAAATCAGAACCAAAAGGGACCGTGCCCTGGCTGTAGTGGTTAAGAGACTTGGCTATTGAGGCCAAGGTCGCCGGTTCAAATCCGTGCTTGCACAGAGGAGGGCCTTCGGGCCAGATGTACGGATCTATAATTGCTAAATACTAAGAACAGAAAGGGCAACGACCTTAATTTCTCAAACTTGCCCCCCTGCCGAGAGGGACTTACTTGAAAAAGGGTTATATAGTACTAATACTGTACTATATAGTATAAACAACAAAATGGAAACATAAATGCCGAAATGAGAAACAAGGGTTCGAGTTCCTTCGGACAGTAAAGGACCACCTCGATTAATCGGACTCGTCTCCATTGGATGGTGGAGGGGGCTGGGGAATAGGGACGCGGAAGTTCGCCGGAAAGGCTCCAGCCGCACAGATGTGCTCCAGGAACCGGACCGCTCCCTGGTACACCAGCACCAACCATCACTGCAAACACTAGTTACTAATTTTGCACCATCACTAAGGGTTCCACGTGGCGTGCATAGCTGACCAGGGCAAGACAGTCAGCTCGGAGTACAACAATAAGTAGGGGCTCGTTGAAACAGTTTATTAGTACGAACCCATTCCCACCAAAGTGACAAACTTCAGATGAGTTGTACAAGTGAACCCGATCGGTTTGCGATAGTGACCTCCGGTCACCTCCTCACATCCACGTCCACGTCCACCAGTCTTCATCGACAACAGGGAACTCGAGTATGCTGGATCGAGACGAGTTTCGAGCACTGGCAGTCACCCGTGTTGAGACTCAGGGTCACGCGCTCACATGCATGCGAAGCCCAAGAAAAAGAACAAAAGAAAACGTTTCTTTAGAATTTTGGTGTGGTCGCAATTCGGTACCGCAATTCAATAACGTTGAAATACAAGGACAAGCATCGACAGCACTCATTTTTACATGTAGATCTGAAATCGGGCCCCATGAATCTCAAACGAACTAAGATCCGTCCCCACGACCCCGCTTCGGGTTTTAAGATGAACGGTACGTCTTTCCATGGGTACGGAGCTTAGCTCATCACAGGTAGTTTAAAGATGATATCTAAGGCCTTTGCCCTTTCGAAAAGGAAAAAAAAATGCATCGCCAACCTACCCTGCGCTTTACTGGCCAGCTGGCATAGGACCTCACTCCGCCACTCGCAAAATCTACAAAATGAGAATATATCTTCGCCTAGAACATGAAAAGATACTCCGCCGTAATTTTTGTCTTTTGTCTATGTGGTGAGTGTTGGACCGAGCCCGATATACTACGACCCGCCCCACGTAGCACTGCCCAACCCGCAACCATATATTGTATGATCCCCCCAACATTGTCCCTCTCGACCTGCTTAATATCACGCAACCCACATAATACCACTGCACAGTCCACACAGTTTACCTCCACCCGCGCCCCCCCCCCCTCTTTTTCCCCCATGGTGCCGCATAACACACATCTGATATCATGCAGGCCAGTCATCATGGTATCACCCACCCCACATAGTGGGACCCAACGAATGTCTTACAACCCGGCCAACAGATTCCGCTCGAAGTTCTGCCTGGGTGTGGCAAGGACCAATCTGTCGCTGATGTTGGCAACGTGTTTTTCAACTTTTTCTTTTTCTTGTGGCCTCCGTCGCATGTGAGGAGGGTGTCCGCTTGTAATAGCTAAAAGACAAAGTATGCAAAGAAAACACTACCATACTAGACTATGGTGAGAATACCACAGCTAAGCTTAACCCCGGTGTGGAGCAATAAACTTGGGTCTTCACCGAAGACAGAGGCGCTGTCTTCAGCCATTGTTCAGGTAGCCCTGCACTGAGTCCAGGCCATACCCAATGGCTAAAGCCTGGACCCCACAGGACAAAATCGTGGAAAAGTCGTGGAAAAGATGGCCTGGAAAAACTTTTCCGGGACTCCACTGGATGAAAGAGGCCATCTGGAAAAGCGATTTTCGGAGGTCCGGGCGGTTTTCCGGGGCCCCACTGCCTGTAAAACGCAGTCCGGAAAACTGGACTTCCGTGTTTTCACTTGTGTTTCCGGGTGGAAAAGCAGCACTTGAGGACTTTCCGCCGGAATTTTGTGCCATTTCCAGAGGGTAGGGGGGAGGCACGTCTTCGTTGGAAACTCCGTCTGGAAACTGGTGGTCCTTCGATGGTCCGAGCCTACACGTCCCGTTGTCCAATGGCGACGGAGACAGACATGGTCTTGTCACCCAGAAACGGGTCCCCGCCCTTCCAGCGGACATCCGCGACCACCATCCTGTCCATCTCGAGTTTCCGGAGTTTCCAAGCTCCTGGAAACTGCCTTTTCCAGCCTCTCCGGTGGGGTCCCATCTTTCCGCAGGCAAACTCTTCCAAGCACTTTTCCATGGAAAGCCGAAAATCATCGCATTTCCGGGACTTTTCCTGTTGGGTCCAGGCCTAAGAGGGCAGAGGCACAGCTTGAGGATGTCTCTGCCACTACCTGGGACTAGGAAGGGTCATCCAGCCATGGAGCTGTCTACTGCTCCACTGCTGTTTGTTGTTTCAGAACCCTGGCGTCGGAAGGGTGAACCCAATAGGTGGATGAAACTGGGGAGGCTGGTGAGTTCATCCCATTGCAATCGAGACGCGGCACACTGACAACGGATGTCCGCTGTGCGATCCCACTTCTCTCTTCTTTTCAGATTCTCTGCTGCTGTTTATTGTTTCACAACCCTGGCGTCAGAAGGGTGAACCCAAGTTCACCCTCCCAAGCAGTTCGTTCACATAAGTGAATGAACTGGGAAGGCTGGTGAGTTCAGCCCACTGCAATCAAGACGCGGCCCGTTGACAACGATGGCGGTTGTGAGATCCCCATTCTCTCTTCTTTTCAGATTCTCATTTGCCTCCCCTCGCTATTGCTAGTCTTTGTTGATTCTATGCTTGG